CCCCGCCACTGGGCCGCTACGGGGTACCAACTGGGCCGCAACCCGTCTCAGGAGTAACTAGTCCAGTTGCTAGGGGAGGGGCTGTAACACGTAGTTTGGCTGCCATAGGGGTAGGGATAGACCATGTATGCGTGGATTCATAATTTTACATATACACATCGCCTAGCAGCAGCTACATGCATACGAAATTCCGAAGTCCTGCTATGTAACAACATTAAGCCATATGCATTGCCTGCTTCAGCTGAAGCAGGTGCAGCTTCCAAACAATCTGCAGCTTCCAAACAGCACCAAACATTTCCACAACAGCGGCTGCTGCAGCTGCAGCTCATCGATCCGTCAACAATTTGCCTCAAAACATGCTACATTATAGCTCAGAAGTGCTCTATCCACCCTAACACTTTCTGGTATTCATGCCTAGAAGTAGTCCTCCATCACCGTCAGTTAACACTCCAAGACAAGTCTGTACAGTGACTGTACAGTGCAGCAGCACTGCTGCTAGCAGTAGCTTCTCCACAAGCCGCGGCTTGTGAGCCTGTATGCAGCAGCTGCTGCAGCAGAAACTTCGAAACAGCTCCAAACAGTTTCATATTGGGTGCACCCAGCTGCAGCTCATCCATCTCTCAACAAAATTTGCCTCAAAACATGCTACATCATAGGTCACATGCACTATCCACCCTAACACCTTCTGGTAGTCATGCCTAGTATTAGTCCTCTATCGCCGTTAGTTAACACTACAAGACATTGCTGCAGCAGCAGTCCTCCACAAGCAGCTTGTGAGCCTGTATGCAGCAAAGATCAGGCAGGGGCATACAGTAGCACCTTTGTCAGACCATCAAGAACTGCAATGACTGTGATGTGGAACTTAGAATGCAGTTTTATGCCACACACCTTACTACTGCTTTAACCTTCCACTGACTCTGCGTGCTGATGTGTGGTGGGGAAAGCATGTGGTGTTGTCCACAGCAGCTGCAGGTTGCTGGGTGGGCCCTGTAGACAGACAAACATGCCCATCAGAAGTTAAATACACCAAACCCTGTATAGGAGACTCCATACAGAATATATGCAGCAAGAGGTAATTTGACACAAAATCCAAAAACTGCAGTTGCCCTTGTTTGCTTGCACATGAATGACAATTACCCCCCCTCAAAATCAGGGTGATGAACGTAACTGTGTAGATACCTGTAGTCACAGCTATCACCTCCCAAGCAGAAAAAGCATGCCCGGGAATCGAACTCAGGTCGGAACTAGGATACTTGCCTAAAACCAACCCATTCTATCATGACTTCCCCAGCTGGGAACATCTCACCAAGTCTTAGATCCGTGTATCAGCTAGTAACCAACATACTTCCTCAACGGCTTCTTCCTGTAACCTGGGTAGTTGCCTTAATCAACCTGTCACATCATGATTTCCCCCAGAGAACAACTCACCAGTGGTCACTATTCACGTGTCATGCCCCGTGATATGAGCCAGTAGCCAACATATGCCTCCATCCTCAATGGCTTCCAAACCGGCACCCATATCTCAGGCAGAGCGGCATCATGCTTATGTCACCTTTCTTCATCGTAGGCAGAGCTTTGGTGGATGATGCCGTCTGCAGCTCCCGTTTCTCGCTTCTGTACACATGCCTGCTGAAGCAAGTTTACCATATGGGGTTGCAACCCCCTCATTTGAGTCCTGCAGATCATGCAAGCAAGCAGTTGCAATGTCTAGCACGCAAGCCCAATTTTACTACTTCTCATGAGACAACATCATACTTTGGGTTGTTGCTTGGGTTTGGTGCTGCAGCTGCCCAGGTGTGCAGCCATGGCATGAGGAGCGTGGTCGCGATGGTGAAGTCCTTTGTTGCCAAGTTGCCATAGAACTCGGCAAAGTCGTCATATTCCATTCCACTGACGGCCAGGAATTCCTCAAACGCTTTGGTGGCCTTATCACCGGCAGCACTGCAAACGATGATGGGCACGTTTAAAATGTACCGCTCATCTAACGAACAAGTGCAATGGCTGATGATGCCACTCACTTGTCATTCGTTGGCTGCATCATAGCTGCAGCTGGACCTCGTGCATCCTGAGCCTATTGTCCGACGGCTGCGTGGGCTGCATCCCAAATCCACCCACAAAATCATCATTGGCTTCCATTGTGATATTCCTCTTAAGCATCTTTAGAGATTTGACCTATGAGGTTAACCATAGTTAGAGAGTAGGGTCGGGCTGGAGCCAACTATAGCACAGCCAGAGACTCTTGATCCTGAGTAAGGTAATTATTACAAAGACGATAACACTTGTTAGTTTGATGCTGCAATGAGTGGCAATGCACAATGAGACAGGTACAGATCCTGCCTGTGGGTCGCCGCTGTACTGCCAAGAGATTGGCTGGCGCAAATGAAAGGCACCAACGGCAAATATATTTGAGGTGGAACCATTCTGTTTATTCATGCAAGCAGCTAACCGCGGTCTATGTGAGCGAGGTAGTTCGACTGTGCAAGCATGGCAGTCCAGCAGCCAAGCTGACTAAGTCGTATTCATTTCTTTAACTTTATGTCCGTGTATATTTTGCATTTTTGTGTTATGTTGTGTTCATTGTTCATTTCTTCTCTTCCGTCAGCGGTTGCTCCAGATCCGTGGTCAAGGTTGGATATTACTTGTGCTGGGCTAAATAGCATCAAGTTCAAATCCTTTCCAGACTGCTTATGCACGGCAAACAGTCGCTTGACTACTTTCGCTGTACATTCGAAAATGGGAAGTCCATTTGCTTCCAGAGGGGATTTCCACGTTTAAATTGTCTTGATTCCTACAGAATTAGGACAATGGCTTCTTATGACTGGATAGTTCGATGTAAACAGCTTTCTCCGGCTCCCTAAGGGAGTGCCATGCACTTTCCGGTCCACTATGAAGGGTCGAACTTCACCTGGCTATACATTCAAAATTGAGAAGTCCATTTGTTTTCGTTGGGAGCTTGTGTTACTAGGAGCATGAGAGCCTGGGGGGCCTGGGAGCCTGGGGGCCTGGGAGCTTGGGGGCCTGGGGGCCTGGGAGCTTGTTAGCTGGGGGTCTGGGAGCTTGGGAGGTTGTTAGGCTGGGGGCCTAGGAGCTTGGGGGCCTAGGAGCTTAGGGGCCTGGGAGCCTGGGAGCTTGGGGACCTGGGGGCCTGGGAGCCTGGGGGCCTGGGAGCCTGAAAGCTTGGGAGCCTGGAGGCCGGGGAGCCTGGGGACCTGGGGTCCTGGGAGCCTGGGGGCCTGGGAGCCTGAAAGCTTGGGAGCCTGGGGGCCTGGGGGCCTGGGAGCTTGGGAGCCTGGGAGC